ACTCCATGCAAAGGGCTGGTCAACCATATTAATTGCTCTCTGGAAACCAAGAGGAACTAGAAAAGTGAGATAGGCTTTGACTTCCAGCACTTTGATTAACTCTGTTACATTATTGCATGTTTCCTGGTTTTAATCCTCAAGCACTGTCTCCTTATAATTATGCTAAATTGATGCACGTAGTCACCCTTCAGAGACTTCTTGGCAAGTGAACCTGCACAGAAGTTTTCTTGATACTGCAGTAAAGATGATGACTGCTTTTTCTGAGCATGAATAAACTGGATTCAGTTGGGCATTTTTCATGGTAATGCTGTCTCAGCTGCAATTCCAGAGTTGCTGTGATACCAAAACAAAGAATGGTGAAGATTATTCCCTATCCGTTTCAATGTGAAATAAGATCTTGATTGAGAATAGAAAAGCATTAGATCTCATGTGAATTATTGGTGGAGTTCCTATTTACCTATTCTATCCCTAAGTTGCTTATTAGTTGTAATTGTATTATATGCAAGAGACGCCAATATTTTTTAGAAAGGGCTGTTATACCCGATGTTATCATCAATCCACATTTATGCCAGACAATATGAAACTCATTAACCTTTGTGTTGTATAATATTAATGTTTCATTTCAAGAAAACTAATTAATGTAAGACAAACTATTTGCTGTGGACAATCCTGGACAAATTAGAGATCCCATTGTGATGAGTTTTAAATCTCAAAAACTATAATGTAATTATTTTAGTGACAAGGATACCAGCTATTTATAATACTTTAAATCTACATAATGAAGAGTCCTATGCTCTTAATGTAAAAACATAATTTGTGAGTGATTGTGTAATGTGCAAAAGTATATGTCTTTGTTATTTTATATGCTAACATAAGACCCCTCTCTCTTCCCAAGTTCCTTTTTCCCAAAAATCTTAGATAATTGTAAAGCTGATGTCCATCTCTGCATCTAATACTTGTTTGTTTCTGTTGGCATTTTATAGATTTGTGTTACAGAGGGCTTCTGAAATCCATATTTTCACAAGTACTTAGAAATAAGAAAATTGACAGTCTCCCTTAGCGTTTTCAAGTAATTACTTCTGTGCTGGTTTGGAAGACATTCAGAGACACCCTTCAGTGGACTAATAATTGTTTAGAGCTTACAAATACATTCTTTTTAGCAAAAGGAGCCAATTTTCTACCTCTTCCCAATTTTTTTAATGCTTTAGGAAGGTTGTAAATGCTAACATCAGGATCTGGGATTAGGGGCTTTGAACAAAGCCTTTAGACATTTATTTCATCTGCAGTACTGTTCCATGTTTTGTTTTTATGGCTTATGAATTCTCTTTTTTCTTAGAGTGTTTATATTTTACTATTTGTATTGTGAATGCTCTATTTACACAAAATATAATAATTATCCTGATGATGCCACTATTGTTCAGTATAAAGCTCAATATTTATGTTGCAAAAAGCTTTCCTCCGCCCTGAAAACTGTCCTATTCATGCTGTTATTCAGGCATCTGAATACATCATAATACATCTTCATTGCTGAAGGGCAATGCTTTTGTGACATTTTTTTCTAAGGGAAAGTTTTTCTTGTGCTGCAGATCAGATTCATCCATTTGGGTGCTCATTCAATTCTATTTCTCACCTTGCTAACATTTCCTCATTTAGACATCAGTTTTGAATCCCTTGACTGGGTTTTCAAAAGCTTCCACTTAAAATTCAGAACTTCTTGGCTCTCCTCACTTCCCAGAAATCACTAGCAGCTGTTCCCTGCAAGATCTCACAGATTGGGCCTGTATAGTTGGGAGAAGGTGGTCTTGTAAATTCTCAGGAACAAAGCCGTGCAGACCTTTATAAATTAATCCCAGCATTTTAAATTGCACTCAGAAACTTACCAGTAAGTGAATGCAGGGCCCACAGTTTTGCTATTGTTTGTTCCCAATTTCAGGAGTCAGAATATACAATATATACAAGCAGTAGCATGCTGGACTAGTTGTAGTTTCTGAATATTCTTCAAAGGCAGTTCCATATGAAGCACATTGTGATAATACACAATAAGGTGCTGATGAGGTCGTGAATCACTGTAGTTGGGTCCTTTGCACCAGATTGGGTCAGAATTGGTGCACTAACCAAAATCAGCCAAAGCCTGGTTATGGCTTCTATCTTTTTAACAGAAGGGTATGAGTTCCGAAGGACCCACGGATCATGAACCTGCCTGTTTCAAGGGTGGTGCCTGTCAATATAGATAACACTATCATTGACAGATAATCCCAGTATCTAAACAGTAATTCTGTTACTATTAGGGTTCAGCTTTAATCTGTTCTCTTCCATTTAAATCAGGGATTAGGGTTAGGGTACCGGGCCGCAGCAACCGGTCTGCACAAACAAGCAAAGCCCCATCCGTGAGATGCAGGCAGGACACAAAATCACGCACCCTCTGGTCCATGAAAAAATCTCTCTCCACAGAACCAGTCCCTTTTGGGCACCTCTGGTGTAAAAAAAACCATCCCATTCCCTTAGTATTTTCAAGGGGTTTCACAAAAATACAAACATTTAAGAATCCACAGTTCAATACAATCTAAATGAATCAGACAGAGGCCAGGACATTTAAAAACAAAATCCAGGAAAAACTATCTAGAAAAGACCAGTATGCCCTTTGGAAGAGCTTCATCTTTTACTTCTTTTGGAAAGTGGCTGAAATTAACCACAATCCAATTTCTAGTGGAAAGCATTTCCAGAGAGATGACATTACTACAGAGAAGCAGGATCTCTGTGCCCTAGCCCATCATATTTCCCCAAGGCAGGGGAATCACCAGCTGCTTTTCCTGGCAAAATCAACCCTTTGGCACCCTATAAAAGAGTACCAACCAAATTAATCTCTCCTCTCTTACCACTGGAACCAGCTATGGAATCATTGTAAATTAGTGGCCTACCCCCCATTTCCCAAAGTTGGTTCAGAAGGATATCATAATCAATGGGATTAAAAGCTGCCCAAAAAGGACTATCCAGATTCTAAGAAAGATCATCTACTGGTATAACCAAAGTGGTCTCAACAACAGAAGAAGGGATGAATCCTGACTGACAAAGTTACACACAATTCTGTCCATTTTGGGTAGTAGATAGTAGGTTCTTCACCATCTTCTCAACAATATTCACTAAAAAGGAGAAGATTGGAGTCTGGGCAACAGTTATCCAATATCTCTGGATACAGTGAGGATCTCTTAAAATGGGGGACTTACCACTTCCTCCTGCCTATCTACCTTTATAAATGTGATTGTTTACGAGAGGAATACCCACTCCAAAAAAATCTGAAACATTTGTGCATTGTAACAAAGTGGTATAGTCCTAAATTTCTTCAATTGGACTTAAGTAGGTGAACACAGGATGCTATCTAGATTATTAGGCAGACCTCTTAGGGATATACACACAAATATTCTGTGCAACTTGGAAAATGAAGAAGGTGGGATGGACCACAGTTGCTCTTGCAAAATTAAAAATATTTAATTTTGAGTGGATAGTTGAGTGAATTAGATATGTCTATGTCTATGCATATATACAGTGTTTGAACCTCCAGATAGATGCATCTCAGTGCTTTGTTTGGAAGTAAGCTGAGGGTGATATGCAAGACTGAAAGAGGTCTATGTCTAAATCAGAGGTCCCCATCTTTTTGGGCACCAGGGACTGGTTACATGGAGAGAGGTTTTTCTGTGGACCGGAGGGGGCGTGGTTTTGTGTGCTACCTGCATCCTGTGAATGGGGTTTTCCTTGTTTGTGTGGACTGGTTGCTGGCATGCCGTAGCCTGGTACTGGTCCATGGATATGGGGTTGGGGAACCCTGCTCTAAATGATCAGAGTTCTGAGATCAGATTATCAAATAAATGCATATTTGTCATGCAACATTCAGAGAAAGGTGATTCAGAACATGTTAATCAAAGAGGACTGGATTAAACTATTTCCGTTCTCCAGAATCAGTATTCTAAAACCTAACTCCTGGAATTAGAATTCATTAAAGAAAATCTGTATGAATTTTGCTTCCTTGATTGTGTGCTGCAGGCTTGACAATAGGAAACACCTGGCAAGGAGGAGCTTGAAACCATGTTGAACAGCATCCTTACCAGTTGGCCTTTTGGCTAATCAGTGCTTTACAACTTCTCATGCCCAGCATGGTAGCCATTTTGCAAGAGCACCATAATGTGGTCAGAATCCCAAATGTGCCTACATTCAAAGATTTTAAGAATTCTCAGACAACAACTATAAGATATTGTTATATGACTGAGATACATGGAGATATATAGAAAGCCAATATGGTGTAGTGCAGGGGTAGTCAACCTTGGCTCTTTTATGACTCGTGGACTTCAACTCCAAGAATTCCTGAGCCAGCTTAGCTGGCTCAGGATTTCTGGGAATTGAAGTCCACGAGTCATAAAAGAGCCAAGGTTGACTACCCCTGGTGTAGTGGTTAAGGCACCAAGCTAGATAGCAAGATATTGTGAATTCAAGTCCCACTTTAGCCATGAAAGACAACTGGGTGATCTTGAGCCAGTCACTCACTCTCAGCCCAACTCACTTCATAGGTTGCATGGAGAATAGGAGGGGAAAGGTGTGTTAGATATGTTCATCACCCTGATTTATTTTTACAAATAATAAAGGCAGGATATAAATAGATAAAAATAAAATAAAATACCTTGCGATTCCTAATCATTTCTACAAGGCTATTGTAAAATTTATGTTGGCATAAAATAGTGGTTGAATTTAGCAGTCTACCTAGAAAAACTAAACTTGAATTAGGAGAAATGGGAAGCAAAGCAGGAGTAAGTAGGAGGGGGTATTGTCTATAGCCCCCCATTCCCCTCATCAGAGAAGCAGCTAGAATTTGTGTGATGCTGAATCAGAAAAATTGCCATTGTAGCTCTTGGAGTTTTGATGTATGCTAAAAGAAAAGCAAAACAGCAACTTGTCTCATTGAAAGTTGCCAAAATGACTAGTACAATGTAACTTTTGTTTCTAATTATTAGATAACCTGTTCAAACCAAAAGAGCGGTACATTTCAGAAAAGGAGATGCATATGCGATCAAAAAGGTAGGAGCATTCTAAAGGGCAATTGAAGTTTTTCCATCATGAACTTGATTCTTTTCCCTTCGTTTTCTTCTTCCCTCATAAGCAATCATGAATCCTCAGGTTTGATTTGATTTGTTTTATAGCTTGATGCAAATTAAATCCATCCTGCAATCTTTTATTGCATGGCATATTGAATGTAATCATGGGACAGCCCAATAAACAATATTAATTTCTTGGGGTACCGTTTGTATGTGTATCACATCCATATTAGTTTGCCTTTTGTTGGGCAGCTGATGGGGATCAGAATACTCTTGGCTATGTTCTTAGACTGACTGGGAGATCATCTAAGCCACTGGCTGAGAAGATTCCTTTAGGTATTTTCAATCAAAGCGCAAACAGTAGCTAGCATACCCAGAGCAAAAATATGATTTGATAATAGCCAATTTCTAAATACTTTCATGGGCAGTTGAGTGTTTCTGGCAGGTCTACATTTTGTATCTCAAGGTGGGCAGAAAGGAGAAATGTGCATGAGAAATGCTTCTCAGATAAGGCATGCATGAGAATTCTCTTTCACAAAAAATAAGATGAGAAGAACTGGATCCTTTATATACCATTATTATATATTATATATATTGTTCTCCCCAAAAGTCATTAAAAAGGCACAATTCAAAGACAGTATTACATTCTGAAAATGTTGACATACTTAGAATAGAATAGATATTATAACATAAACCATAATAGAGGACATTATGGTTTTACATTTTTAGTAGAATAACATAAGTAACTGAAATGATAGAATCTTATATTTTTAAAACATTTAGATCTACTTATTTGCCTTATTGTTTTGAAAAGTTTTACCTGCTATGCTGTCTTAACATGCGGCATATTAGATATATTAAAAAAACACAATTAAAGCATATTTGAAATGCATCTTCAGAAGCCAATTAAGAGCTGCATTCTAGAATGACTTAAGAACTATAGTATATTTGTTGTAGGATTTATAACAATCTTCCTGAAGTGAAGAAGAAACAAGAAGAGAAACAGAAACGGATAATCATACAGAGCAATAGAAAGCGGGTTGAAATATTTAAAAAGGTAAAAGGTTTCCAATCAATTGTTACAATACAAGCCTCCACCCATTATTATACAGCAAAACAGGAAGCTGAATCCTGAACATTCTCATTCTATTTTTTCTCATAGATGACCTACAGCTTTAGCATAGTAAAGCAGAAATTTCATATCCTACATTCCTCCACTTGACCTTTGATCATCACTGGGGAACATAAATAAGATTATGAAATTATAGTGATATTTTGCCTATAAGTGTGAATCTTATTGCCCCTAAGGGACACGCTCAAATTTAATAATGGGCTCAGAAATTATATGTAACAGAGTTAAGTTAGATCCACTTGTGAGATTTGTAGAGATGGACAGTTAGCCAGCTTTATAAAATTCATTTCTGAGGAAGCACTGAACAAAATAAATCTGTGCATCTCTAAAGAAAGCAGTCACATATAGTGAAGAAAAAATGTTCGTAATAAGAATACATGGTTTCTGTTGTTGTAGGTATTATCTATTATGCTGTAATTATATCATGCATCATTATTTTTACTTTGTACATGTAATTGTTTATATTATGATTCCAAGATGTTCATCTTTGGCCATTAAAATGTTTAGCATTACAGCTTTTATGTTTGTCTTTATGTTTGTTTTCCTTCAGCAATTATTGGACCAACTTCTTCAAAGAAATACAGAATGAATAAAGAATCCTGGATACAACACATCATTCTGCTTGGAACTCCAATGCCTTTGAAAATTAAAAAGCCATATAAATGTAAAATGACCTTTAATCACAAAGCAACCCTATTTGTTTATAGATAAAGAAAATAGTTTTTTTTAAAAAAATATTAATTAATTCTGGAAAGTTACTGGATTAGATTCCAGTGAGATTGGATGGTTTTATGCAGTTGTTAAGGTAAACACATTATTTATTTTTTGTCTTTTAAACCACAAAGTCAACTTTTAAATTATGACTGCAGAATATTTAAGCTTACCTACAATAAACATTAATATATGTATTCCCTTTATACACTGCATCAAGTTTATAACTTTTTTAAAAAGGGGAAAATTAATATAGTTGTTATGGTTAGAAACAAACCTATAATAGCAAGGCAGGCTATTCATTTGAACCTTAAATTTAAATTAATGGCTAATATAACAGGCAAATATTCTAATTTATGAAGAACTATATTTCTGTTTTATATGATGAATGAGATACCAGTTTAAAATAATATTTAATATCCAGCTAATTATTATTTTCAAACATGTTATTTATTAAGCCATGTAATTTTGCCCATCTTTTGTTATATTTATTAGAAGTGATATACACTGCTCACAAAAATAAAGGGAACATTTTACCATGGAACTGAAGGGGTTTGTGTTCCCTTTATTTTTGTGAGCAGTATATTTAAACTTGAGCATGAAAGGTTATACAATTCAAAACAACTAATGTAAGCTCCACAAATGTTTCAAAGGATTTTTTGTATATTCAGTAATAAAGCAAGCTAAACTTTATTCAAATAAATAAAGCAGACCAAGTTCTACTAGTTTTATTACTCTCAAAGCTATTATTAAAAAGCAAAATAACACCGATATATTTCTATCAGAGTAATAGGCTTTACCTAGATCTCAGTAAGGAAATGCACATATAGGATTTTTTTTCTTTGTTTCTATGTAACACATACACTGCTTCTTTATATGACAATATATTCTACTTCCCTTCATAGCAGCGATACTAGTTGTTAACAAATCACAAGTATGCCTTTGTTGTTCAGTAATTACAACATTAATGAGCCTTGCAATTTTATTTCAGTAAAAGATCTGACTTGGTAGGCACTTTGGGAAACAGAAAACTGTCCACATTGCTTCTATGACTGCATGTCACTCAGACTGTTCAATCATCCTATGTAGCAAGAAACACTCCATATAGAGTAGGACCAATCCATTTCACAACCTCCAGGATTCTAAATCCATTAGCTAAGATTAAGGGCAATCAGATCTTAAGAGTTTCCCAGAAGGTAGCATCAGCCATCTTAGACATCCTTTATTATTGATATTTGTGATCATCAGGATCAGCAGCTATCTGTGGCTGTTAAACCAGAAACTCTTTTACTTCTTGATCCTGTGTATTTTCTTGCTAACTTGCCATCATTTCTAATACAAGTGACAGGACCTTCATCTGCATTCTCAAAATACTTGTAAGTTAAAATATTCAGATTAAAACCACTTTGAACTATTAAAAAAAAGTGGAATGATATATACTCATGTTGTCTGAGTAATCAGAGTCCAGATCCACATTTTCATGAAGTCAGAATATTAAAGAGATTAGAAGTGGGTGGGATAAGGATGGGCTGCCTTTTACATGTTTTCTTATTTGCCTTACAGTATTTCTCTGTGTCCTAGATACTGAGGAGAAGAAAAATAAAGCAGTTAACCATGTGGTCATTAAATGAATCCATTATCCTGGATTGGCAACTGCCTATATTCTTAGACACCTTAAACATTCTTAGGTCCTTGATTAGGACTTGAATAATTAAGTTTCCACAAGTCTTTTTTTTTAATAAACCCTCTATCCAAAGCTAAAATACAAAATCCAAAAAGAAGGGGGGAAAAGAATAAAAGAAAAAAAGAAAAAATGTGTGCAAAACAAAATATCAAACATAGACATAAAATGTCCCCCTGAATACTAATAAATATATTTTAACAACAATAATTTCCTTCTCTTGCAAAAACCCCCATAACCCAAAAAATTGTATCTATATTTGTCAAACTAGCATATAACATCAAAAACTACCACAGATACAAAAATCCACCATCAATCAATGAACCCACCATCCATTCCCTGCAAAACAAAAACAGACAAACAAAAAAACAGCCAACAGGTAATCCCAACAATAAAGCCAAACCTTAAAACCCTCCACTAACAATCTACCATTGTATTCAATTCGCAGAATGCCCCCCAATGTTCCCCAACCCACCACAACCATTGTCTCCAATCCATTCAGGATTGAATACCGTACTCAACAATAAAAATAACTCCGTCCAGTCTCTCATCTCCACTCCTCCCCAAAATTACAACTGGGATCTTTCCAAGCAACTGTATCCCACTCCCCAAAATCATAAGTCTCCACTGAATACCTCTGCAGCATCTATCATTCAGTAGATTCTCCTGCAAACTCAAACACAACATCCTTAAGAGATTCAACTTTCCACCAATGTTAGACCACACACACATAATAGGTTTTTCAGATTTAGAAATATGCCCCATGGACCTGATTGCTACTAAAAAAAATGGGAAAGGAAAGGAAAGGAAAGGAAAGGAAAGGAAAGGAAAGGAAAGGAAGGAAGGAAGGAAGGAAGGAAGGAAGGAAGGAAGGAAGGAAGGAAGGAAGGAAGGAAGGAAGGAAGGAAGGAAGGAAAAGCTTTGCTAGATTACACAAAGCATGGATGAACAACCCATCCTCACCCAATCCCAGTTGATTTCTGGCAGTGGGTAAAGGAAAGCTATTGATGTTGATAATAATAATGATGTTGCTTGGTTGTCTAATGAACATCTGCAAGGAAACCACTGAGCTAAGAGAGCACTTCAGAAGGACTTCACAGTTCAACCCTGCACTACAGACATTCTCTTCTATTAATATCGATCAAAGGAACAAGCCAGCCAATTGCCTCAAAGACTCTGACCAACTGGCCCTGGGCACTAACTAAGTAAGTAAGCATATTGTTGAAGGAGAGGCAATTTAATGAAAGAGTTAACTTTTTATTGATCTTTTTATTGACCTCATTCCTGACACAGCTGACTGTAGTTTAGTTTCAGACAATTAAAATAGTTCAAACAAATAGTTTAAATAGTTTAATTTCAAACAAAACCTGAATTGTTTGGGATTAAAACAAATTAAGTCCTTCTCCTCACCTCAGTGTGTTTGCTCAGCATGCTCTATCCCTCTCTCCTACTGACCCAGTTAACTATGTAACACCTACAGAATTGGTTCACGCAGACTTGTGGGGTAGTCTCTACATGGATGACACTGTGTTTCTAAACACACACCCTCCAATACAAGCCAGGTATTGGAAAAAGACAAAGGCATATGATATTTTGTACACACTGATGGAGAAAGCTGAGTAAAATTGTCTGGCTTAAAAATTAATAGATTGCCAGAGTTGATGTAGAAATGCTGGGCTCAACCTCATCAGCTGAAAGCTGAACTCAAGGAGTTCAGTTGAGCTAAAGGAATGACCACCAGAGAGGGCTCAATAGGGTGACTGCAAAGTTTGTGTTAAAAATTTGTGTCTGATCCTTTAAAAAATAATATCTAGTGATTTTGTTTAATGGGTTGTTGCTATATTCTCTTTCCTCTGCATAGAATATTTTTATGCTGCTATAGCCTGACCATTGACCTGAACCATTTTAAAGAACCATGCTATATTTATTCTACCGACATCAGAAAGGGCATAGTGTTTTTGGAAGAAAGTTTTGAATTCGTTCAAAACTGCTTTTTTGGCATTTACAATGTTTTTTTCCCTTTTGTATTCTCTTTTCTTTTGTATTCATAGATATATGCACACTAATTTTCCAAGGCTGAAGATAAAATATATAGTAATTTTCAAAAATAAGCATTAATTGTTAGCAAATAGTAAATAGGATGCCTGAGACGAATCATTGGCAGGAAACAATGGTAAGATATGAATGTAGGTTATGAAATAAGAAAAACAGCTACTGTGTCTATTTTTAAAATATATAATTAATATTTAACTCAACTCTTATTCTATTGCTTCATGTTATAATCAAGGAGAGAAGCAACCTAGAATTAAGGAGAAACTTCCTGACAGTTAGAACAATTAACGAGTGGAACAACCTGCCTCCAGAAGCGGTGAATGCTCCAACACTGGAAGTTTTCAAGAAGAGACTGGACAGCCATTTGTCCAAAATGGTATAGGGTTTCCTGCCTGAGCAGGGGGTTGGACTAGATGACCTCCAAGGTCCCTTCCAACTTTTATTATTATTATTATTATTATTATTATTATTATTATTATTATTATTATTATTATTATTATTATTATTATTATTATTATTATGATTGTGGACATGAAGAAGATGACAATCTTTGGGGAGAAATCTAGATGTTTATGAATACTTTTCATCTTTTATTTTTTTGAAATTAATCTTTGTTTTAGGAAAACAAAGGTTAGGCAGTAAATAATTAAATATTGTTTCAGCTGCAATTTTAGAATACCTGTTCACATGATATTATTTCAAAGTTCTATGTTTCATAAACGTGGTACTATATTGTGGTGTTAATAACATTTTTTCAAGCTCAACAAAGAATGTAAAATGTAATTGCATTCTCATTCAGTGTGAGATGAGAAACTGATTTGTAATTGCAACTATTACAATGGTGTATTGTATTTTTATAGTGTTTCCTTTATAGATATTATATGTATAGAACTGTTTGTTTGTACAAATGTTTATACGTAACAGTTGAAGACTTTCAAAGTCACCCATATGATTTAAAAATATTGTATGTTCTTATTACAAGCCTTTTTTACCTTTTGATTTAATGATTTGAATAATAGCCAAGATTTTCCTAGAATTACTTGGAGGACCTTGATTAGAAGCAGGCTCCCAAACAAATTTGTACTTCAGAATACGAATTTTACATTAAATGTCTTGGACATCAACAAAGGGGGATTACATATTTT